ATCAACAAATCAACAGTCACAGATATAAGGCTTCGATAGAACCATGAACCTATAAACACTATAAATGCATTATATTCCCTCCGTGAACCTCATGAAAATGACAAGACCCAAACCATGAGCCACAAATTGGGGATAATAGGCTCAGAATCCTCTAGAAACAGTGCAAGCTGTCTCTAAACTCTAATCTAACTTACAAGACCCAGACCAGAGGACGATAGGGGGGGTGGGGGGTCATATGTTTTTGTCGTGCTTCACAAGTGTCAACAGTCACAGACATGTGATATATGCCTTCTCCAAAACCATGAATCTATGAACGCTATAAATACGCTAAGCCACAGGGGGGGTGGGGTAATAGGTTCTGAATCCTCAGCAAACAATGCAAAACCTCGCAGTACAAGATGACCTATAGTCTACACTCGTAGTATCCCCCTTAATAACCCCTGTAAACCTCCCCTATATTCCCTTAAATAACCCCCTTTAAGGTTTAGATCCCAAACCCTAAAGCGCATATAACTCCCTATATAGCTCACATGAACTGTTGGAAAGAAATTGCTATTGGGAGGTAGGGTGGGGGGTTACAGCTTAATCCAGATTTAGAGCTTAGAAGAGAACCAAACCACAGGCCACAGGACCACAGGCGGGTGGGTTAATCCTGATTTATAGCTCAGAAGATAGGGACCATACTACCATGGGGGGGAAGGGGCCAGGGGGGCCGCCGGGGCGCGACCATATATGCGTCTCGCTTTTAGTAGCTGGGGTTTCATGCACATTTCAGCAGCCTGTTTGCCAGGTAAGAAAGCCCTGGAACACTAAAACCTCACTTCCTCAGCCCAACACCTAGGCTGGCTGTCTATATCTCCGGATCCCTGGACCAGCAAATCGTCCCGCTCCTGCCCCTCAGGAACAGGGATTTCTCCGTCAAGTCTTTGGAGTTTTGGTGCAGAATACCAGGATGCAACTTTTCCTGATATTGATGCTGGGGCTGAATCTCATCAATGGTCACTTGGACTTTCAAAATCAGCGCTATGATGCACTCGGACTCACACCAGAGAAACTTGCGCTGTGGAATATCTGGGCCGTGCCCGTATCTTTTTGCACAGCTGGCCTTCTTGGAACTTCAATATGGCCGGCGCATCGTCTTAGGTCTCTGTATCTTGGACTTGTGATCCTCAATTTCGTATCCATCTGGCATTTAGGGGCCTGTCAAGCTGCGAAGTCAGAGATGCTGGAAGCTGGCAGCCTTTACTGGGCCTTTGTAGGCATGCAGCTCGTGAGGAAGTTGGTCAGTGATTCAATCTTTGTCATTGAGGTTGCCATCATCAACAGCTTTGCTGCTGTACATCCCTTGATTGCTGGCTCGATGATCTCAGTCCTGGCCAGCGCGTCAAACTTTTTCGGGTCATTGCCGGAGCAGTGGATGCCAATGAGCATTGACTGCTTGGGTCTCGAGTGGACTATAGTGGCTCATACTGCCTTGGGACTGGTGGCAGTATTGCTACTGGTTCCCTGCATTGGCTCGGGGATTTCCATGCCAGCTGACGTAAATGGGTATTGGGGTTATTAAGGGGGATACGAGGAGTTTAGACTATGGCTCATCTAAACTTTTGCTCTGACTTTCCGTGCTGGTCTGCAGTCTAGCTTCGGTGGAGTTCTGAAACTAGATTTTTGGGTTTTATGCTTGCTCATTATAGGCTTTTAGGTTTTTAGGGTTTGGGTTTGTAGCAGTTTTGGCAGTGTATTCGGGGGTGCATGTACACATTTTCCAGCCGGAGCTTTCACCACCTTTCCTGCCTGCACCTGACGAGTAGATGCAATGTATGATAACAAGCAAGTGGGAACAGTTAGACAGAGCAACCCCCATACCCCAAACCCAAAACTTAGTAGCTTCCGTTTTCTTTTCCATTATCCCTATATGACCATTATTTCTATATAACCCCAGTATACTATAGTAGTTTCCATGTTCTTCTGCAAATAGTAGTTTCCATTTTCTTTTCCATTATTTGTAAACCGGCATCAACTCATAGGCTCGTTTTCAGTGCGGAGCCGATCAGTATACTGCTTGGAAATGCCAAGTCCTGTGAGCGGCTCAAGGGCAAGCTTGCATATACTCCCCCTTAGGGATAATGGAAAAGAACATGGAAACTACTATATTATATTGGGGTTATATAGGGATAATGGAAAAGAAAATGGAAACTATTATATTATAATAGGGTATACATGGGGGTTATAGTCCCCTTAAATAGATAGAACATGGGGTATATGGGGATCTGATTATAATACAGCCAAAGTCATATCCTATCTACTTCAGGAGGACTATACATTGAGAAGCATGTCCTAGCTGACATGCAGCATCACGAGTAAATGCGCTGGCTGTGAGTAGGGAACACGGGAAAATAGCCCCTTACAACATATTCCTTTATTCCCTACTAAACCAGGAAGTAAACAAGTTTGCAGAGATCAGAACAAGATTGAAGCTGGCAGCTTGGTGATCAAGCAAAGCACGAGAACCCTAAACCCTAAAACCCTAAAACCCTAAACCCTAAACCCTAAACCGCGTGTATTTTTCAGACCCTTCCGGAGCGACAGGATCCAACGCCAAGTTCACAAGCCCAGCCCAACCAGCTGCGCAGTCATGATGTGTCACACTCGTCATGACCCTAAACCCCAATCTACACCCTAAACCCTAAAAGCCCTAAGCTTCAAGACAAGGAGAAGGGAAAGCCCTTAGCCTGAACCTTGCTAGGTAGCAAGCTGCTCAAAAAAACGATTTTAGGGCTTAGGGTTTAAGGCTATATACGGATAATGGAAAAGAAAATGGAGACTTTAATATCATAACAACCCCAAACCCTGAACCCTCAGCCTGAAATCCGAAACTGTGTCAATGCGGTCCACCAACGTTGCTTTGCGACCCGACCGGCCGCCAGTGCTTCAGCAGATGTTTAAGGGATTATTAACTACTACTACTACTACTACTAATATTACTACTATTATTACTATTATCTATATTAGTACTATTTTACTATTATTCGTATTAGGATTACTACTATTATTACTGTTATAGGGATGGGGTTCGTTCAGAGATTCGCCAAGGTTTCAGGCTCAAGGTTTCAGGTGTAGATCGCGGTGCAGAGGAAGCTTTGTTTGGAGAGAAGGGTTTGGGTTTAAGGGCTAGGTTTTAGGGTTGAGGGATGGGGCCCTAGGAGGGTTTGCGGCTGAGGGTTTGGGTTTCTTTCATCTTTCATGTTCTGTGATAGTGGATCCTAAGCAGGGGAGGGCTTTTTATCCTCCACCCCTAAGCAGTGGATAGGGTTCTTAATTTGCATTAGTTTGTTAACAACCAGAGTTTGGGTGCTGTAGGGTTTTTATCGTTCCCATTCATGCGACGGTATCAAGTCCACTAAAAACACTTACGTAGGCCCCAGCAAATACACACTAAAACGAGAACCCAACCTGTTGAGATACCCCAGCCTCAAATGACCGCTCAGTTTGATGTTTCTCTTCAATTCTTCGAAGCTTAGTGCGCGGCTGGGCATGCCCTGAATTCCGTAAAACGTGGCTTTTTGCTGAGTTTTCGTGACAATTGACAATACGAGCACGAACAAAGGGCCCGTCAGAAATATCATCCCTTTTTGGGTGCCCTATGTCATAGGGTATTCGGAGTTGTATCATACAGGCAACCCAAGAACGAACCAGAATCTTGACAACTAACCAAGTAGGCTTCCCACCCTTTTTGGAGCAGAAATGCAGGCTGCAACTTTCTAGGTGGGTTGTTCTCAAAATTATGGGCCCCTTTTGGTTATAGATTATGTTACGGCACCTAATATGTATGGGTAGCAAAATAGGACCCTAATTTTGGGAACTACCCAGGTAATTCCGCCTTCTGTTGCTGCAAGCGCCGAGCAGGGAGCTCCCAGGCCCAAGAAGCGGAGGAGTGATCTGCAGATGCAGAGCAGGATGTAGGGGTCCATGATTCGGGATTAGGGGGCTTGGGGTTGGGGAGTAATGGCTAGAGGTCAGGGATTTGGGTTGAGGACGGATGCCTCAATGCTGGAAGCAATTGCCTGGGGCCTCAACTTTCGCGCCTTCAACCGCAATGCAGTTAGTTAATTAACGGACAACAGTCTGTATGACCTATTTCTGAAGAGGCTGCATGAAGATTTCAAGCCCCCAGCTGTTGTGGTGGCTCTTTCGGTGTTGGTTTTTGGAAAATACCTGGAAGGAGAGGTTCGCTGAATATGCATGTGAGAGCGAGAGAGGAGGGGTTCTCATTCTTTTTGAAGGGTTTCTGAGGATTGTCATGAAACATCCCTCGCCCCAGACGGAGTACGAGGTGGTTTACTCCTTGTGGGAAATTGTCAAAATGTTTGTCCTGGAATCCTTGACACGGACCTCAAAATCCCCATGCAAATCTCCATGCACCCCAGCGTTCCTGTTTGAACCCAGCCCCACATGCTGCAGGAGAACTGCCACCGAGCAGCTGCTTGCACATGCAGAGGAAGCCAGCAGGAGACAAAGAATCGTATCTGACAACCTTAATGTAGACCCCTGGTTAATAAACCTACTCCCCTTAATAGGGATAGTAATAGTGATCCTACTATTAGGGGCCCTTAAAAGGAGGGGGTTTGTTAATCATGGGTCTACATTACAACTCCTCAAAACAAGGGGCTATGAAGGCCTTCTTGGGAGTAATGTTGTGAGTTATTGAGAGACCTCTAATGACCTAGACCCTGAACCTTACATGCTTCTCTGTCTCAAGCTTTTAGAGCTCAGCATATATGCGTCCCTCCCCAGGGCTAACATCAAACCCCACACTAACATGGAACCCCCACGCCAATTGTGCTTTAAAAAGGGGCACAGCCGTCCATGAAGGCCTCCGTGTTAAGTTTCATGTCTCTTGTTGGGTAGGCCAGAACTCCAATTGGATTCTAAATTATAGGTTTTCAAGTTTTAGGCTCAGACTTGCATATTTGCCGTGAGATCAGTCTAGTTCTGTGTCATCATGCTGTTGGTGTTTTCATGATTTTGGGGGTCTTGCTCGTTTCGGGTGGCTGAATATGGGGCAAGCAACACTTGCCCCCAGCAACTTTAGCTCTTCAAGCGCAAACAAGCGTACCAAAAGCGCCCTAGACCCCAGAACCCCCCCCAAAACTAAACCCTAAACCCGAGACCCTGCAGCCCAAACTTTGAGGTGCCAAGAGCCTTAAATCCTGAATCCCCCATATAAGCAGCCCATGGCAAACTGTCACAGATCGCGCGGGCATCATATTCCTAAGTAGTCTGTCCTTCGTACCCAGGCTTCCGGAGATGAAATTGGGCACCCTAAGCCCTATAGGCATCCATAGGGAGTTACAGCTTCACCCTAAACCACAGTATCAACCTTCTAGGTTTTCTGGGATGCCCCCAAAATCTTGGAGGACCCGACTGAGACTTCATAAGTGATGGGTATGTCCATCTCTTTCATCCAAAAATGGTATAACTAGGTGGCATTGTGGGATCATTTCCTCTGTTGTGGTATAAGGGACCCTATTTACACATGATTTGCGGGACCTCTGACGTACCACCTAATATAGTTCACATTTTGAGGGAGACCCGCGAGCGGGGACCCTAGAATTTTGGGAACCCCAGCCCCAAATCAATGTAGAAGCCCGAAACATTGTCAACACCACTGGCTTTTCTAACCTTGCTGTAACAAACTCCGATACTCCTTCTGATCACATAAATCCGTGCATGATCCTGATAGAACGCCTGTACAGTTTTTTCTATACATATTCCCGATATAACCGCTGGAGACTTCCCAACTCCAACCTAAACCCCAAACCCTACACCCTATAAATCCCTGCATTCTCTGCAGCCAGGAGCCTCAGTCAGTTGCCCGAAGCCCCGGCCTGGCCTGAGCCTTCATCATTGGGAGAGGAGCAACTTGTAGCTTCGTGGGGTTACGTAGGGGCTTGGGGTTTAGGGTGGTGTAGGGATTAGGGTTGCAGGCTTAGGGTTGTATAGGGTTTATTGATATTCCCTGTAAACGCATTGCATTGAAAAGAGCATGGGCAATCAAATGGAAACTGGGGTTGCAACGGGTTTGGGGGCATAATTGCCCATATTATGGTCCTCTATTTTTGGAATGATTATGGTACAGGGCAGCCCAAGTAGACCTCAGCATTATTTTTTTTCGGGCCCCTAGGGTAGGGAGATAGTTATGACCCTACTTGGGGTACTTGTGATCTTACTGAGAACTACCTGTGGTCCTCTCAAACAGGTGCTAGGTTGAGGTCAATGGTTCCGGCTTTTCGGAAGGAATGCGGGAATGCTTCCCGATAGTAGCTCCTACATACGTACCTCATAGTAGTAGAGTTGTTTCTCCATGTTCTTCTCCATTCTTTCATTCCCGACTAGGAACTAGACCCTAAACCCAAACATAATCCAAGTTCCTGCTTCTCTTTCCATGTGGTTTCACATCTGATTCGCCATCAACACGCTGGGTTATCTCCCTGTTCTTCCGTAGAATCTTGCCATGACAGGAGCTCTTCTCCCGCGCGCTGGAACTCGCCCAGGCCTTCCGCCAAGGGATAACCCCAGCCGGCAAAACAAGGACCCTACAAGACTTGTATGATAGTCACAGGGGGCCGGCGCAATTTTATTATTCACCAGGTTTGTACTTTGTCGGGGAGATGTAGGTCTCATTTGATGCGTTCTTTGTCCGTATTTCCTTATTGTTCTTCAGGTGAAAAAATGGCTAACAAGCGCAAGGCTTTGTGGTATGAGCATGTCGCTGTCGTGAAGATGAAAGTTCATTGCTCAGTTGCTATTTCGCAGCTTCGTTGGAAGGCTTCGGGACCCGGAGTTTGAAGATCTAAGCATGTCTAGAACATGTCGTTTTTCAGGATTCGGTGCTATGGTTGCAGGCACTCCACAGCCAAACGAACATATGTGTGTGTGTATATGTTAAACATATGCATAGTACGGCATTGAAATCCCGAAAGGCCTTTAGCCTTAACCTGCACACCGTGATCCTTGGAGCCTTATACTCGAGTCCCAAAGGCGTAATCAAACTACACGCTCTGGTGTTTGAAACTGACTGCACCTGATTCCTAAGTCATTCCCAACTGAGTCGCAGAAGCAAGCCCCTTAAGTGGCCCAATGGCAATATCGTGTATCGGATGCATGTGCAGAGAGCCTTGTCGTAGGTCGACGAATCCCTAATCCGAATCCTGTGCACGCCTGCAAATTTCCCAGATCACCGAAATGGCCCACAAACCCCTTTCAAGACCCTAGCTGGGTCATAGTTGAACATCGTTCTGACGTTTGACGTTTGTTTAATCGAGCAAGGGATGTATAGTTCTTGCTCATGATTATGGTTTTTTTGATTCTACTCAAGCGCGATAAAGAATGAACGGCTTCCATGTCACCCTAAACCCTCAACCCCCAAAAAAAAATGAACCCTAAAACCCCCAAACCCCAAACTATGAGGAAGCAGTAGAGCCCTTGTTCAGGTGGCTGTGGATCCTCAGGCCGCGCCTCGCGTGGCAGCGGCTTGCGCAGCTCCACTGAGGCTTCTCGAAATATGGGTTTTGAACTGGGTTTTGGGTATGGGAACTGGGGGGGTCCAGGATTTAGTGCTTAGGGTTCAGAAGTCAGGGTTTGGGATTTTGGGTTCGGGGTTCTGGATCTAGGGTTCAGGGTTTGAGGAATGAGGATTTAGGATTCAGGTGGCGCTTGGGTTGCGTGAGAACTATGTCCGGTTCTGTTGGGAGTTGCATGTCGATTGTTATTTTGGTTTCTGAAAATTAGGTGGAAGCATGAAGGCTTGGATTGCGCGGTTTTGCGTCAAGGAAATGGGTTTCGGTGATATAAGCCATTACCTACTTTAGCTCTTGGGAATTGTCGGGCTATCGCAGATACTACCGTACAGTTTCTGGCATTTGGGCTTGGGGCATCCTAGAACCCCAAAGCGTTCCTTCATGCTGCGAAACGATGAGAGGCTGGCTTGGGCTGTTGGCCTTGCGAAGCCGACGCAGGTCACCACCTGGCGGAGATTCTTAGAGGATCCGACCTGCATGCAATTTCTGTGGTAGAGGGTTATACAGGGTTATGGGTCAAGGATTCAGGGTAAGGCATAGCGTGGGCTCATTCTTTTTCTGGCAGTTCGAGGTCCTGTCCAGGAAGGGACCACGTACGGGGCTCAGGGTTCTCACGTATTGCATACTGTGGAGAGTATGGCTTCCCAGGGCTAGGGATCTCAGATCACACACCATGCGGCCTGAGGACAAGCTTGCGGAAGCCCTTCATGTGCTGACAGCAGCAGACGCGCAGTGGGGCGCTTTCTCCTTGCGTAGGGAGCCCAAGGCCTCTTTGGAAGGCCTGCTGCAGCAGTTGGACTTTTACGATACGCTTTTGATGGGGCTCTGGGCCGAAGGGGACGACGAAAAGGAAATACGGCATCCTGCAGAACTGTCAGAGGCAGCTTGCCTGCACCACGTGCGGGACAGGCAGCTTTGCAAGGATGTGCGCAGCCTGGTTTCCGGCACACGAATGGCCCGGCGCGCGGTGCTGTGGGGCTTCCGCAAGCCTTGGCTACGGCATGGCAAAGGCCCGCCCTGGAAGGCAGCTCTGCTTGCTCCGCTTCCCCTGCGCTTCCTGCGATCGCGTTGGTTGGAGGCTAGCTGCCTCGTCAAGCTGCACGCCAGAGATGTTGGAGGGGCAAAGCTTCAGAAAGCGGTGAAAAGTTGGCAGATGGCTGGACGCGATATATCTGCCAGATGGCATGGCTTTGCGATTCCAAGCTCCAAAGTATTGAAAATCCTGAAGAGCTGTTCTTCTGGAGGTCTAGTGGAACTTGGAGCTGGGGTGGGATACTGGGCAACATTGCTCAAGCGGAGAGGCGCAGCATTCATTCTTTCATGTAGTGTTTGTGCTGTTTCTACAAGGGCCGCATGGTGTTTTGACGTTTTTACGCATGCTAAGCCTGGGCAGCACCTGAGCCACTGCAGCCGGAATCCTCTCAAATGCGTGCATATAAAAACTAAAGTCCTGCAACTGGTCGTGTTTTCGCCCTGCAGATGGTTCAATTGCAAGGGCAACCCAGAAGCCAGCAACTTCTAACACTTCTGGAATATAGTTCCCAAGCATGCAGCCTTCCAGGCGTGGACATTGCCGCGCTGGATATCGACCCACCTGCACCCAGAGCGAGGGAAAGCTCCTGCAATGTGAATTTTGGAGACGCAACTTTGTCGTGCTTAGCGTGCTCGGCATTGTTTTTGCTACTCAGTAACATGGAATGTCGATGGGCATTGATCTAGCCCGCTATCCTTTACACCTTGATCCGTGCACCTCCCTGACAAATCCCATCAAGCGAGTTCTGTTCGAGCGGTTGACGTGAGAAAACAAGCTTGGACATATCGCTGTTGGGTCTGGACCGCGTTTTGGCGCCACCTCTCCACTGATGTGACCATTCCCTGCTCAGCCTTTGTCCCTCCCGGGGCAAACTTGGTGGCGAAGATTTTCTAAGTCCCCACTTGCCAGTACTCTTGTTTACTGCTCTGAAGGTTTCCTGCCCAAGTATCTCATCCCCATAAGCTCTTTGCCCCAGAAAAGTCCTTCAACCGTCTTGCGGATCCCCAGGCATCCTCCTTGAAGAAGTTGTCGCACCAGACACTTCTCCTCTGCATGCCGCCTCCGGGAGAAGCTTCCTGCGCCGATGAAGCTCTGGCAAGTTTCCGGGGTCGAGTCTTTGCCTTGTTAAGATTTTAGTTCACACTCTTGTTGAGGGGATGGTATACGGAGTATGTAGAACTGAAAGGTTCCGGCATTGCAAGAAGGATTTTTCTCCGCCGCTTATAGGACCACAACAATCCTGGGAAAGTTTTTAGGCAGAGCAGTGCAAGTACCACCGTCAGCTGCTCATCTAGGGTCTAGGCAGACCCTCCTTAGCTAAGAAAAGGACATGTGGCCTATGTTGGCGAATGGCGTTCTGGGATGACTGCCACAGAATCCTTCCATGAGACTTTGCTGTCCCGCTATGTGCTGGAGCATCGGGTCCCCCTGCCTTGCTACCCGAACATGCGTGTGGAATGCTCCCAGGTCTGCGAGCGAGCAATTGCTCCCCTTTTCAAGAGTTTTTAGGGCTCCTGGGGAAATCGATTAACAAAACAAATGTGTTTTTGCCTTAGCTTCATTCGCAAAAACCAGGCTTCATCTTCCGGTCGCGCGGCAAGAAGGAGGGGCTGGCGCAACATGCGCAGTCCGAGCTCCTGACCTGCGACGGATGTGGAGCTACTGCTTCTTTGTACTTCTGCCCAGCCACGCGCTTCTGGCGGCTCTGCTCCGAAGCATGCTATGATGCCCTGCTGTCAGAGCAGGCCTCACTTTTGAAGATGACCTCCTGTGGCTTTGGGCTTCCTGTGCCTGCCTGGAGCTCCTGGGAAGCTTACGGCTGGCTGGCAGTTGAGGCTGCCAGCAGCCAGCAGTGGAGCGCCCTGAAGCGCGCGACCCCGCAGCCGGAAATCGAAGGTTGGCAAAAAACCGTGGGGAAAAACGACATGCAGAACAATGCCCGGATCTGTCGAGCACTGGTGTTTCTTGCATTTATGCTCGTGTAGGACAGATTTCCCAAAAGAATATTTCCTTTTCCCCCAGATGGCAGCAAGCTTGCTCCGCAAATGTAGCAGCAGACCTGCGTGACTCTTAAAGCTCAATATTGTACGTGTTCCTTAGTTCTGGCCCGCACGGCTTTATTGGAAATTAGTTGGTTTTCCTGATTAAACGATCGATAGGGAGAAAATCTTGATATTTATGAACCTCTATTCATGTATACTATTATTATCATAAGAATTTATCAATGAATTCTTTAATTATAGAATTTTGATTGATTTTTTAAAATATTTTTGAAACTTTGGAATTTGAGAAATTATTCGTTTGGAAATCGTTTCAAGAAAATCATGAGAATAGGAAATTCTGGCAAATAGATTCTGAAAATATATATATATAGAATGAAATATGATTTTTTTGCGAATGAATTTTGAATATAATATTCTTCAAATATATTATTTTGATGATTTTTGAAATCTCTTTATTAAATGAATTCAATTTTATTAAGATAATTGGAAAATGAAAATTTATGAAAATTAATATATTTTTCTTGTTTTTTTGGATTTGCCGTGGTCGGGCGAAGGCTTTAGGATTAAATCTTAAATTTTAGATAATTCTGAATCCTTGAATCTTCTCTCGATGATCCCGGACCCCAAGCCTATATATTTAACTTAAGAGTCTCCGGCTTAGTCCGCTGACCCAGAGGCGGAGAA